CCGGCTGAGCTGCTCTCTCCCGGGCCACGAGCTGGACGTGCGGGGCCTGGTGTGCTGCCTCTATCCGCCGGGGGCCTTTGTGTCAGTGTCCCGAGACCGCACCACCCGCCTCTGGGCCCCGGACAGGTGAGCGCCGCGAGTCCGGCCGCACGTATCTGTTTTGCGGGTTTTCGGGCGAGTAGGAAGAGGCCCTTCCCGCCGCTGTCCATCGACTGTCCGCCAGCTCTCTCAGCCCTGGCACCCGGGGAGTACAGTGCAGGAACCCAGCCAGATTCAAGTGAACCAAGTACCGGGTTGGGGGACCGAAACCTGCCTTCCTGTCGTAATTTAGCTCCTAAGGAGTGGGTAACCTTGTATGAGCCTTTTAGCTTTGGGAGCTTCAGTTTTGGACGAGGAAGTTTCTTTCACGGTTAAAATTTTATGATGGGAACCGCGGATATAGCTCAGTGTTCCGCCGCCTGCCTCGCAAGCACAAGGTACCGAGTTCGATCCCCACCCCCGAAATTGGCCTTGTGCAGTCTTCTAGGTAAGGTAATGAGAAAGTGTCTGGCATGTCTTTTTTCCCCCTAGAAGTTGCGCTGTAGTCTTCTCTCAAATTCTAATTTGTGAAGACCTTAATTCTCAAGAATTGCATTACAGAAAGTTGCATTAAATACTCCATCATGGGGAGTTGGTACATATGTACCTAACACATCTTAATTCATTTTAATTCTCCTTCCCCTCCTCAATGTTTTGGTCCTTTTCCTATTTACAAAAGGTCTATCTCTGTGTTTGCTATTATCTGTTTATTTTGCTCCTAAAATTATTTATACTTTGGGATTCTCTTACATGAGAGAAATTATGCGATATTTAAGCTAGCATGTTTGATTTATTTCGCTTAACATTATGGTCTCAAGGTGCATCCATTTACCTACATAGCACTCAAAAATTTCTTTCTTTGTGGCAAAGTAATATTCCATGGAGTAAAAGTACTACATTTTTTTAAAAAGTTACTGAGTTTATTGGTACATTTTAGATATTCATAACGATCACATTCATCGTTGGGAATTTGTATGTGTACATGATATGTCTTGGTTCTTATTTTTTTCCCATTCCCTTGCCTTTCCTTCAACCCCTCCACCCCTCCCTATATACATAAACTTTGTTTCCATTTTTCCTGTTTTCTTCATTTTTTTCCTCTCCCTTCTTTCAGTTTGCCTGTGCCGCCCCACCCCTTCCCTTTTGAACATTTTCTTTCTATTTCACAATATACATTTTGACCCTTATTTACTTTCAGTTTCTCACACCAGAGAAACAATTCGGTATTTACATGTGTATCCTATTTATTTCACTTTCTAGTATGGCCTCAAGTTATATCCATTTAGCTATAAATGTCTCTAGTTTATCTTTCTTTATAGATGAGTAGTACTTCATGTTATAAAAAACCCACGTCTTTATCCAGTCACCAGTTGATGGGCATTTGGGCTGTTTCCATGATTCAGCTATTACAAAATAGGCTGCTATAAACAGGGAGCACCACATTTTCCTTATCTGCATCTGTTGAGGTACATACAGGATTCTTCCAAAATTTAGGTATTAAGAATTGTGCTGCTGTAAACACGGATGTGCATATATCACTGTAATGTCTTTAACTGTTTACCTAGAAGGGAAGTAGCTTGGTCAAATAGAATTTCTTTGTTTGTTTGTTTGTTTTTTGAGACAGGGTCTCACTGTGTAGCTGAGACTGACCTGGAACTCACTATGTAGCTCAGGCTGGTCTCGAACTCAAAGCAATCCTCCTGCCTCAGCCTCTGGAGTGCTGGGATTACAGATGTGCTCCACCACGCCTGGCTTAGAATTTCTAGTTTTAGTTTTTTGTGAATACTTTTCTTCTTGTCCAAGTTAGTTTCTTAGTCTGGGGTCTGTGGTTTTGGGAAGAGGAGGTGAAACTCCACAAGTGTTTATTGCAATGTGGAGAATTGTTTGCTTAAGAAGGGCTCCTTGCCTTTAAATATTTATTAGAGAGGTTGATGAAAAAAGTTAAAGCCAGTCCATCTCAAGTTAAGAGTTCAACCGTAGAGCAGGGTATGCTGGTGTACCTCTGTAATCTCAGTACTCAGGAGGCTGAGGCAGGAGGATTACCCCAAGTTGGAGGCCAGCCTGGTCTACATAGTGAGTTTGAGGTTAGCCTGAAGTACATAGTGAGACCCTGTCTCAAAAAACCAAACAATATCAAAAAGGTCAACCCTGACTTGACTAGTTATAGTGTAATAGTTTTAGTTATTATAAAATAGTCAGATAAGCTTGAGATAAGGGAGAATTAAGCAAACAGCCAGATAAGCCTAAAAATGTAAAAGAAAATAGCCCACCCACATTACAAACTAATAATTCAAACATCTGAGCCAAACTTAGAGATCAAGAACAAAGGATAAAAGGTTGGGGTAAAAATGGATAAAAAGTCTTCCCTCCAAGAATACTCTTACTCGGAATATACTAATTTTAACAGAAAACTGGGGTTATGTCTCATGGTGGTAAAGAATGAAGCCAAGGGGCCGGGGATTCAGCTCAGTGGTTCGGTGGCCTGCCTTGCAAGTGCAAGGACCCGAGTTCAATCCCTGGTACCAAAAAAAAAAAAAAAAAAAAAAAAAAAAAA